GGAGACGTGGCTGGCGCCAAACCGCCAGGTAAACTCAAAACTATAACGCCAATAAAATAATTATGTTCAAGGTTGGCTTCGGTTTTCCTTTTATGATCTATTTTGCAGTAACACATATTTCTTCAGCCACTGACTTGCCAAAGAGTTGTTGTTCTGCCAATGATACAAAAAATTTGAAAGGAAGTCATGGGCTATCGGCTACTCGTTTGCTCGCCTAACACTTGTAAACTTGATTTGACTCCTCCAAAACTCAGAAGCTTAGTGAACCACCATATGAAAATAGAGGATAACACACTCAAACACAAAATGTCTTTTATTTGATTAATGATCACTAAAGCTAAAATGATAAATAAAAAGAATAGGATGGAGTAGTAGATTTAAAAAAAAATAAAATAAAAAAGAATGATAGTAGATTATGTTCAAAAATTACTTCATTTTCCTATTTTAGTTGTGTCTTTTGTGATTAGAACTTCACAAGACCAACAGCTTTGCCGTATCTGGACTCTTCCCCTACTCGACGTTGGATCCTCCTCTGCACGCACTGCCCTGATGCGGCGGTCGAGAAAAACGAGACTTTCGTGGTGATTGACCAACGCATGAGGCACAAAATGTTTTTGGTCGGAGCGTTTCTGAAGAAGTGTACACCGTCTCGATCCAGGCTCATACACCTTGAAGGTGCAACAATCATCCCAATCCATGTGCGTGTCCAAGAGGAACTCACCATTCTTCAAATAGACAACCAATTTAGCCGAAAATATTTCGGCAATGGGGTCGAGACTGTACAATTTGGTCCAAGAATAAGACGTTGCAGATCCCTCTTTCTTGAGCATCCAAATGGTAGAGGGCAAAGTCGGAGAATCAATCACGCACAACGAGTCCTCCACTAAAGTAACATGCGGAAAATAAGTACACTTATCGCGGGTCGGGTCCTCTGGTGGCAACGCTATCTTTGCAAAAACTTCGTCCTTCACATCGAAGGAATAAAGGCACGAAAAGATATGTCGTCCTACCTTTATCTCATAGTCACGTGTGACAAGCCAATGGATCTTGCCTCTAACGAAAGCACCTGTGCAATATAGTCTCCTGTTTCCTCCTCCTGTGCGCATAGCAGGGCCCACATCCACCCTCCGCCACGTATTTGAATTCAAGGAGTAAACATGGGCCACCAAATGTCCTCGTACATACCTACCACTTCTCATGACCACAACTTTGTAGTCGTCGGTGGTGGCCTCGTATCCAAATTCAACCGACGTGTAGTCGGCTTCTTCTTGTCCTTCATCGAGGGGCGGAAAATCTGGTAAGACGACATGCCTCCGCACGCTGGGGTTCCATAGTATGATGGGTAGGGAAAGTTCAGAATTCCCAGATGTTTCTCCCGATCCGGATATGCATATCAAGCCGTTGATGGTGCTCACCATCTTGTGAGAGGTGAAGTATGGGTACTCGAAGGGGCAATTCAGCGGCCGCAATCTGTGATGCTGGTCGTCATCCAGCAACCAGTAGCGCTCGTAGAGTTGCCAGTTGCGGCGCTTCATCTTCGTACAACTTTCTGTTGAGTTTTTTGCTCTTTTGTCCCACATCGGAAGTGGGATGAGAGAGGAGGGGA